CCCCCCCCACCCGCTCGCCAAAAATTTTAATTTGGGAAAAATTATCAATGTTCACTTTGCCTGTTCGGGCAAACGATACTGTGCCCCCCCAAAAAAAATAAAAGGTTAGGCCCGTACGCCCATGGGTCCAGATACGGAAAATACTGACAAAATCCGGAAATGGGTTTTCACGGACCGCTTGTCAACCAATCAGAATAGAGAATTTTGAAAAGCCATATAATAATACAGTAAATAGACAACGTTACTAACATATTATGCCATTGTCTGAACATTCCATCGGCATACTTCAGGGTTGAGAGCAATGACCACATTCAAACCTTATAAAAATAGGTACGCATTGCGCACATGTGGTTAGCCTATATGATTGGCAATTGTTATAGCGTCATATAGCTGATTTCGTTCAATATAATGAACAAAATATCTTCTTTGATTTTTCAACCATTGAACCATAAAATGTTTATTCTTCATTCTTTGTCGTATGAAACCAAATACCGCATAACATAGCCATAATACAGCAACCTTTTTAAAAACAAACCATAAAATATTAAATTAACTCTACTATTTCGTTGTAAACGGCTAAAATAAAATTTTGAAACTCTTCTCGCTCGGTCCCAAGCATCGTAGGTCGCTAAAAGCTGCCAACATTTAAGGTCCAGACACACCGGGCGCGATTCTACAACGCGACGCGATCAGTTAGTTTTTGAAAGTTAATACAACAGCCAATGAGAGCAAATCTTAAAAGACATGTAGACCAAATAACGCAAAATGTTATAACGCTTCTAAATACTTGGAAAATTTAAACTAGGATTAAAGTCATCGGTCACTGTGAAAGTCGAAAAATCGCGTCGCGTTGTCAAATCGCATCCCGTGTGTCTGGACCTTTAGATGTTCATATCTTGAGTTTAGTGCATGCATGCTCAGAATAAATCAAATAGTTCCTTACAATAGCTTTAGTCATTATCAACATTGTAGCGATTTATTGCCTCTGAAAGGCAAGCGAGATCGTACCTTTCGCTGAACATATAACTTCGGCCACGCTACAGGGGTAATGTGACTCGAATCGGTTTCCGACGTTTCCCGTGTGCTCTGAGGACAGCATTGTTTCGACACTGATGAGTTTGTATTTCTGGTCGAGGATCTCACTAAAAATTTAGATATTCTGAAATACCGACTATAAGATGCAAATCTGTAGATAGAAGCTTCAAAATTAGACTCTGAATAGTGTTTTGGATCCTGATTCGAACAAAACGTTTACGAAAAAGATATGTTGAAAGGGACCAAAGTTCTGTTCGGCGAAAGGTTATGCACTTATGCCTTTAATACATTGACATTGTTTACATTGTTCGGGAAAATTGTGTGAAATATGGTATCGCTAAACTTCTAAAGATCGTAAATCGCTATGTTCATGTTGACATTTGCCTAAAACCATCCATAGGGATTGTTTCACTGAATTGAACAAAGGTATTTTCATCCACATAGCATGCACTGAACCAAAGATATATGAACCTCCAAAGTAAACCGACGATATGATATGTCCATATGCATATCGATCTGCTTTAAAGAAAGAGAAATGATATGTCCATATGATATGATAAGATATGTCCATATGATATGTCAATATCCATATCGATCTGCTTTAATTTAATGGGCAAGCGAAAGAGTATGCCAGAGCCTTTAACTACAAAATTTCATATACTAGAACCAACGACTCTTTCGTATGCCTTTAAATTAACTACAAAATTCCATAAACCAACGGCTCTTTCGTATGCCTTTAACTACAAAATTTCATAAACCAACGGCTCTTTAATTAATTACAATATTTCACACATGCGCAGATTAAAAACTGTCACACTAGACTTCTTATGGTTTATAACATAGTGGTTAGCTGCGCATGCGCAGGCTAACCACAAAAATTGCAAAATAGAATTTCAGAGATGCGTTTTAATTTATTACTCCGGCAAATAAGAATACAAACTTACCAAGACAATACATCAACATGGCCTTCAAAACGATTTTGTAACATATTTTCGAGCTGTTCGTCTTCTGCTACAGCTTCGTCGACCTCGCACTCGATCGGCTACCGCCTCTTCATGCGAGGCAAGCGGCTCCAGAAATAGTATCATCAAATGGCGAAAATTCATTGTCAGGTTCGCTTGAATTCGCTGTTATATAAACAGATGAGATGCGAGAGAATCTGTTTCCAACAAATACTCCGAATTAACCGCGAAACGCTACTAGATCGCTACGAAACTGACATTTTAGTTCTTGAAATGATATACGATGCTCTACGTTTGCAGTTACTAATTCTACTTACCACTGGGAAGGTAGACGCGGATTGGGCCGCAGA